GGGGGGGGGGGGGGGGGGGTGTCGAGTTTGTTTCTCTCGGCCGTGACGCCGTGTCTCGCAGGTGGTGTGCCGTTCGTTGTTTTTGCATTGTACCCATGGACAGAAACAACGCCCGCCAAGCACACACATAGATGCGCTAAGCACACACATACATGTCGAAATGAGCGCGCGGGGTGTTCCGTTGTGACACTTTGAACTTGACACCCGCCCATGCCCTCAACAGGAACAAGGCTGCTTCGCAAAAAAGCTGCCTGCTCGTGATGTCAGCCAGCCTTTTCTCGCTCGGAACTCGCAAAGATGTACACACTCGTAACGGGAGCGGCAACAGTCTACTCGGACGTCTACTTCCGCTTCAAGGAAACAATGAGCACAGAACTATTCTGTAGACACCGGCAACAGCAGTAGTCTACACTCGGACGTCTCCTTCCGCTTCTAGGGAACAACGAACACAGAATGATCCTGCCTATTTACTTTTTACGGACTACTAAATTTGTTTGGGTAAGTTAGCCTGTGACCAAGGGAATCGACACCGTCAAGTGTTGACTAGTGCGGACAGAGGAAGGTACTGGGCAGAGAGAACGGAACATTTTTTAGTGTGAAGTCAACAAAAACAACAACAACAACAACACGGCAGCGACAGCAGCTAGTTTGTAGACTAGTCTAAAGGTATTTTAAGATGAAGGTGCAACGAGACACGATTGTTTCTAAACCCCGACCCTCGCTTGCTGTGGCGCTGGCGGGTGTCACGGGTTTTCGACACCTCCTGCGGCGTTCGATCGCGTTACAGTACCTCCGAGACCGAGAGAGGTTCGTCCCACGTGAAGGAGCACTTTGAAAAGCATGCATGTATAATAGGTATAGGCCGTACCACACAACGTCACGAACAGAGGTAAGGGTGATAGGACACATTCTTGTGGCGGAGAAACTTCTGCGCAACATTCTTCTTTTCCCAGGCAAAGAACCAAAGCTGGGTGACGTAGGGTTTGAACAGGCTCTAACGGTGGCGTGGTTCTTCAGGGGCAAGCAAGGATAGCAAGCAGCTCGCGGTGTGCGGACTTCAGTGAGTGCACGCAGGGGGGCACCGAAGGGTTCGCCGAGTTCTCGTCGTGAACAGATTCTCGTTGTTTAGGTGAGGGGGCGAATCTGCACCTGCTGTACACGAGCTACCCGCCCACAACGGTACCATCCATCCTTGTTTGTTACAGATGTTGCATCAAAAGACGCGGAAAAAAAGTGCTGGGCTTCAACCCGGCCAGCCGGGTTGTTGGAAACACAACGCAACACTCACGCTTCGAGCTCTTTTTGCCCATCCCTTCGTTGTTTATCACGTCCGCGCTCCACGTCACACTGGGCCTGGGCTTCTTTGTTACAGATGTTGCATCAAAAGACGCGGAAAAAAAGTGCTGGGCTTCAACCCGGCCAGCCGGGTTGTTGGAAACACAACGCAACACTCACGCTTCGAGCTCTTTTTGCCCATCCCTTCGTTGTTTATCACGTCCGCGCTCCACGTCACACTGGGCCTGGGCCGCAGCCGAAGGGTCAGTACAGCGGCCCCGGGCGTCGCTTCTTCTCCGGCGGCGGTTTCTCCCGGCTGGGACTGGGTCCGTGCTGTTCCTGCCTCGGCCTGCTGCTGCTGCTGCTGCTGCTGCTGCTGCTGCTGCTGCTGAACCGTCACAGTGACGCTCGCAACGTCCGCTGGTTCCGCCATCGCTTCGGCCATTCTGTTTTGTAGGGTTGAGGGAGTTGAAAGTTACAGCTAGTGGGTGGGGCCAAGGAAAAGGTGATAATGAATCTGTTTGTTGCTTGTTGCTGGAGCGGGGAGAAGGGGCACGCGGGAGAGATTGGGCGGTACCATTCGCATTCGCGATGACCCCAAGCTTCGAAACTCAGCGCAGTGGGTCAGGCTGGACTGAGCTCTGTGCACTGCTGCTGCTTAGGACCGCCGTCGTGTAGCTTCATTCGCACATGACAACTGCCGGAGAGAATGGGTGTGTGGGAGAGGTGGTGAATAGCGGCGCGGTGCAGATTTCTGAGCAAGATGATCGGGAATACCGGCATGTGACGCTTCCGAATAAGATGCAGGTTAGTTTTGACTACAGAACCAGGCGAACAGAGGGTACCGCAGCAGCAGTTGCCCCGTTGTTCGTGCACTCAAGGCCCGGCAATCCTAGCTGCTTCTTCTGCAGTTCGCCGAATGCTTGTACGTTGTTTGGACTGGTGGTGGCCGCAGCGCAGCAAGAGCTCGCAGGTAGTCTTCGCACGGCATATTGCCTTGCAGCCCCATCCGACGGCGGGCCCGACACCGAGGTTCAATTTGCGCCGTGAAGGAAAACACACCTTTACTGGAAGGAACACACACGCACCTCTACTGCTGTCTTTTGTTGCTGCTGTTGTTGTTGTACATGTATACTAGTTGTCGTCGTCGTCTTGCATTCTACCGTTGCCATCCCTGCTCAGTGAACAGGGAGCAAGCGGCACAGATGGATGGCCTTCAGCAGAAGCAAGCAAACCAGCAGGGAGTGCTGTTGGAACAGCCCCACTGTCGGGCCATTGTGAACATGTCAAGCACGGTATACTGCCTGCCCGACGCTACTGCTGTGTAGGTAGTGTGAGACACCACATCCACACAAGGTCCCACACGCCCTTCGAAAATGCACAGAATTTTTTTCAAGTCCCGAAAATGCGCCAGTTTTTCTCACAGTCTCTCAAGGTATGCATACCACACCCCTTCGGTTGAGCCGCATGTTGTCCACATCGCCCCCGCCTATACCTTAATCTCACAGTAAGACAACCGGTTAGAAATATAACCCCAGTCGAAAGGGATGTGTCTTGTCCACATGGCGGTGTCACACGTGGTATCCCAACACGGAAGGCATCATCCGCATGGACACGAACCTTCTGATGGCTCTAGCATTTTTGTGACCACGGGCCGAGTCTTTGCTAGATTTTGGGATTAGCAACTGACACGAGTTTATTGTGAAGAAAAACAACAACAACAACCGCCCAACCGCCCAACAGCTGACACCCTCGAGACGTTTGGACCCAGTGATTCGGCCACAGACTGCTGCTATATAGACTCAAGGCGACAACTTTTTTATACATGTGGAACAACAACAACAATACAACAGCAGCAGCAGCAGCAACAACCGGCAGTATCGACGCGAAGACGGTGCCAGAATAAGTAACATAATGACGAAATTGTTGTTGTCAGGTTTTGCTGATTAGCGACCCCGAAACGGACAAGGAGGCGGCCGCGATGGATGTACGTGTAGGCCAGACTTCGGACCCGGCGCACCTACAGGGAACGGCGCACTTTTGCGAGCACATGCTTTTCCTTGGCACAGGCGAGTCAGAGACGAAGGAGAGACGAAGGGGAGGGGGAAGAGACAGAGGGAGAGACAGACAGACAGACGGAGAGAGACCGATGGAGAGAGAAGGAGAGACAGAGGGAAAGAGACAGAGAGAGGCAGAGACAGAGACAGAGACAGACAGACAGACAGACAGACAGACAGACAGACAGACAGACAGACAGGGACAGACAGACAAGACAGAGACAGACAGGCAGGCAGGCGGACAGTTGAGAGAGGGGGGCGCCGACGGAGAGAATCGTGCCATGTTGCTGCTGTAGTGTCCACTTCGCGTGTGTCCTTTCTACGTGCAGACGTATGTGTAGTGCCAGGGACACGGCTAAAACGCGTCCCTCAACAGCAGGTCTGGAAGGCAGCAGTAACCGCGGTGCAATCGTGCGCTTGTGTTCGCTGGTCTAAGCGTCGTGTGCGTATGTTGTGTCCTGCTTCTGGTGTTAGCGTCGATCTTGTTGTAACCGGCTTACCAGAGCCCCTGTCAAACGTGGGCGAATGCGCAAGAGATTTGCGATCGATTTTTTTTACAGATGCGATTCCTCTCACAACCAAGAAGGAGCGGAAATCACCAAGCGACACGTGCAAGGAACGCCGTCGCTCTCGACGCGATCTTTCCAAGACCAACCCTTATTCGGCGTCGGCAGCCTCGTCCTTGTGGTCCGATCGATCTCTTTGCGATCAATCTCGCGCACACCTCCTGCCTGAGCATGTTTAGCCCGCGCTTTTTTTCGGTGACAGAAGACACTGGTCGCTGACACCGAGCGAGCTAGCGGGCGGGACGGACGGACCCCATGTATACATGACGAAAGTATCGCGCTGTGTCCACAGGAATCGACCGCGCCAAATGCTAACAGGGACGGAGGGATGGAGGTGCTGGATGGAGAGATCGGCGACGAAAGCAACAACAACAACAACAATCGCGCGCGTATGTGGGTCTGCTGCCGTCCTGACCTTTTGTTATGCCGCTGCTTGCTGTGCGTGCAGGCAAGTACCCGGACGAGGACTACTACAACTCCTTCCTCAACAGCAACGGCGGAAGCTCCAACGCCTTCACCTCCAACGAGGTGAAAGAAGCGCACAGCTTGGTTGGCTGATTTTTACGAGCTTCGTCACCTGCAGAGCAGGAAATACCCTGTATTCCCCAGTTTGCACCTATTCCTTGAAAACATTGTTTGTACAAACCACCAGGCCGGGACTGATCGATGTCGGAAACATCGCGGTCGAGCTCTTCTCCAACAATTTCCGCCGTTTCTTTCGTTTTGGTTATTTTGTAAGCCCAACGGCGGTGGTCGGCTGACCGCTCGTTCGTAGCGCTCGAATCCCCGATTTTACCTCGGCATGCGTGTTGCCATGTGGGTTTGCCCTCTTTCTTTCTCCTTTACAGGACACCAACTACTACTTCGACGTGAACGCTGGTCATCTCGACGGGGCCCTGGAGATCTTCAGCCGATTCTTTGTCGACCCCCTCTTCACCGAGTCTGCCACGGGGAGGGAGCTCACCGCCATCGACAACGAGAACTCCAAGAACCTCAACTCAGACCCGTGGAGGATAGTCCAGGTATTTGTTTTCGTCGATTTCATCTACGCGGATGGTGTTTGGGGGGGAGGGGGGCATACTCTTTTGTTTTGGGTGCCTCA